AAAATCACATGGGTACTGCATGCCCCAATGGAGATCAGGATAAAATAACACCCTAGCAGAAATGAGAAGGCTTGAAATAATACAACTGGCCCAAGAGAGCCATGCTTGACTGATCCTTAGTGAGGAAGAAATCAAAGATGAAAGGGGATTCTCTCTCTTCAGCTCTCTCCTCTTAACCATGACTGAGGCACTTGGGATTGCAAAGGCAACATTTAGCTTTCAAAAGCACCATTGCTTCCAGAAGTAAAAAGAAAGGATCTTACACCTCCTTTTCTTTCCTGCTTCTAAAGTGGTGGGCAAACGTCTGCTCTTATTGGTTTGAGGTAGTCTCACCATTGCCAGAGAATGAGCAAAGGAAGTTATATGCATATGCTGCCCTCCTAAATGCCAACTCCTTTGTGAAGCTGTCTTGATTCCCCATTTGGAACGCATAGCTTCCTTCTCCACACATATATAATTTATACCTCCATTAATATTTGCAAACTATTTTCTATGTGAGTAATGTGTTTACAATGTTTCCCTCTCCTACTGAACTGTAAACTTCCACAGCTCGGGGACCAAGTCCTCACAATGCCAGGCAGAATAAGTGCTTGATGAACGAATAAATATGGTGGTGTCAGCTTCATGATGACTGGAAGTTATGATGATTTTAAGGGATCTAATAAAAGTTGAATGCAAACAAGTTAAAGAAACCACATTTTCTACTTAGCAGCGCCCTCCCCTCCAATCTCTTTTCTCTGTATTTGGTATCACTGTATATATTGAAGAGGGAGATACATCTAGAGATTTCCTCCTGAGAATACATTTTATATTCAATATGTCTATTTTTATAACCCTCAAGTAAACCATCTTTTGGAGAAAATTTCCAGGGTTAAACTGAACCTGATGGAAAGAGTTTCAATCAGTCAGACAAATGGATCTCTACTTCCTATGACCCAGTGTGCTGTCAGATGCCCCAGAAGAAACTCCAAGATTCTGAAAGTTGACAGCATGATTCCACAAGACTCTACTAACAAGGTACTGCCTACATAAAATGATCAAGAAGAGGAAAGAAGGAACCTGAATTTCTTTAATTGAGAAGGAAAAATGGTCTTTAGTTCTCAAAAAACAAAGGTCTAACTAGAGACTGATTAATGAGGAGTGACAACTGTTTCAGGTAAACAGAATAGAATAAAACGTATCTAAAGAGAGAAAGGTCAACTTTAGGCAACAAAAGTCATTTCAAATAAGATATCTTCCCCTTCTGTTTTAATCTGTTTCACATTTTACAAGGTTTGGCAAAACTTTAACAACTGTTTTTTTGGAAATTCCTAAACAATGATCAATTTCTACTACAGTGTACATTTTTTTCTTTCCAAAACAAACAAGATACTTTGCCTTGACAGGGATCATTTTTTGTTGTTGTTGTTAATCCTCACCTGAGGATATTTTTTCCATTGCTTTTCAGAGAGAGTAGAAGGGAGGGATGGGGAGAGATAAAGAGAGGGAAGCATTAATGTGAGACAGACACACTGACTGCTTGCCTCCTGCATGCACCTGGGGTGGGGATCAAACTCGCAACTGAGGTACCTGTCCTTGACCCAGAATCAAACTGAGACCCTTCAGTTCGCAGGCCAGTGCTCTAACCACCGAGCGACACCGGCCAGGGCGACAGGGATAATTTCCAATCTCTCATCGTTGAAAGGTACAAAAGAAGCTGGGAAATTGTCTGAATATCATATAGCACTTTTGAGTTCATTAGGACATTATCCCTAGGTCTGATTTAGTTAAAAGATGAAAAGTACAGTCCTGGCCGGTGTCGCTCAGTTGGTTGGAGCGTACACTGAAAGGTCCCGGGTTTGATTCCTGGTCAGGGCACATACCTAGGTTGCGGGTTCGATCCCTGGCCCAGGTCGGAGTGCGTGCAGGAGGCAACCGATCGATGTTTCTCTTTCACATTGATGTTTCTCTTTTAAAGATCAATGAACATGTCCCCAGATGAGGATTTAAAAAAAGTAGAGGAACAGTACACGCTCAAAAGCTTTTAGGTGATAGGAAGCAAGTCTTTGGCTTGGGATTTTTGTGTTTTTGAGTTTATAAGTCAGGTTCACAGAAAAGTAATCAGAAATTAGACTGACTGGAGATAAAGAGCCTTGAAATGAGAGGTGTGAGACCATGGGTTGTATCTGTGACATGGTGTCTCTTAACAAGCTTAAGGACTTTGAACAAATTACTTAAACTCTGATCTGTAAAGTAAGAGACTAGACTCTGATGGTTTCTAAAGCCCCCGGTAGCACTATAAATTTTTAATCGTCTGACAGTATTCCTTAAGTCACGTCTTAGGTTCGTGCATTCACCTGTCTATTTGAATACCTTCAATGAACATAATAAAGGACACTGTCGTCAAGGAGTTGAGTCAGCGGGAAAAGTGAAGGCTCTTCCCACAGCTCCTAGCACAGGTGCTCATTCATCCATTCAAGTTCTGAACCAAGGTTACAAAGAAACCAGCAGGGAATGATAGAAAGGAGTAGGAGAAACTCCATAGCTCTTAGGAGGAAGAGAAAGTAATTTATTGTTTCAGTCCAGCAATGTTTATTGAGTGATCACTGTGTACCAGGCACTGGGCTGGGCACTGGGGGACCCCGAGGTGACGCTGACAGACCAGGCCTCTAATGAAACTTACTTACGTTCTAGGAGGTGGAGAGAGGAAAACAGGCTGACACATTAAAAAAAATAATAAAACCCAGACTGTGATGAGTTCTGTGAAGGAAATATTAATAATGAGAGAGAATAACTGTATTTGGGGGGTGGGCTGCCATTAGCACAGGGCAGAGGCGAGGAGGGCGGCCAGCACAGAGGGCGAGTGATTCAGTCAGAGGGAAGCGAGTAAAACGCTGAGGTTGGAAAGGGCTGGAGCAGCGAGAGGGGCCATGTGCGCGGTTGGAGCTTAAAGGGCAGTTAATTCTGGAAAGTATAGAATTAAGGTAGAAGTTCTTAACTAAGGGCGAATTTTGCCCCCCAGGGAACGTCTGACAATGTCAGGAGACATTTCGGGCTGTCGTGATTAGGGAAGGGGGCGGTGGAGGTGCGTTTCCTGCTGAGGTTGAGAAACCCTGCCCTAAAGGACTATTCTGTCGTTATTATTATAAACTCATGTTTTTACCAGCTTGAATCTTTTTTTCCCCCTTTACTTGCAGAAACAACGTTTCAAGCGGCCCACTGCTTCACCCGCTGCCTCAGGAAACCCCGCGGCAGAGGTTCAAGGGGCCCCAGGAAGCTGAGGAAAGCTCCCCGGGTGGGTACGGAGCAGGCACGTGGACGCGGGAGAAGGGATCTGAGGGTCACGCCCGGCTGCTCCCCGGAGGCGCCTCCGCCTAAGCGGCCGGGAGGAGGGGCAGTGTAGGGGGCACATATTCCCGCTCATTTGCCTAATTACAAATTAATGTTAAAATCGATGCAATGTTGGGTCTACACACAGGAAAGAAGTGGAGATGCCCTCAGAACTGAAACTTCAGTGGACTGGGCTTTTGAATGCCCCTTCCGCGCGCACCCCGGTCCCTCCTGGCTCTAGCTTCCCCGCCCCCACGCTGCCCAGCGCTGGGCCCAGGTCTCTCTGGGACGCGTGGCCCGCATTAGCCCCAAGGTCCCTCGGCCTCAAACCCTAGACCTCTCCGGGCCCGCGAGGGCCTCCCCGTCGCCCCCTCACCTCGACGGCGGCGAGGCGCCTCCTCAGGAAGCCCCGCGGCAGGCTGTAGTCGACGTACTGGCTGCCCGAGTGGAAGGCACCGTCGCGTCCTGTGTAACGCCGCAACCCCGGTTCCCCTCGGCGCCGCGTGCTCCGTCCGGGTCCCTCAGGCCGGGGAGCGTCCGGGGGAGCCCTCGGAAGGGCGGGAAACGTGGCAGCGGAGACGCAAAGCCGGCGGCGTGAGGGCAACTGAACTGTGAACAGTGGCCCCGCGGGGGACAAGAGCGGGGACTTGAGGGGGCCGGGCCTGCCAGGGCCCGCCTTCATTTGCATATTCATGAAGCGGAGGGGGGAGAGAGGATGGACGTTTGAGCACGCGCCGAGAGGTAATGAATTATTCATGAAGAGGCTCGCCCCGCCCAAGAAGACCTCGTTGATTATTCATGAGCCCGAGAGGCTCGGTTTGAACCCAGAAAGGCGGTTGAATCCCCTCTGAGGGAGAGGTCGACTAGGCTGAGGTGAGGGCGGAAGCGACGCGGGATCTGCGAAGAAAAAGGGCGCTTGAGGATTGTTAGTTCTCTAGACTTAGAGCAACTTTTCTTTTTACTTGAGAGTGTAAATTTGGCTTGAAAGCGTATCGCGGAGGCGCCAAGTGCTGTGAGGAGAAGCTTCGGGCTGAGGGGAAAGACAAGGGGAAGCTTCTAGGTAACCTTTACCCCCTCAACGTTTGACGATGAAACACTTCACACATA